AAGATTATATTCCATTCAAAAGATGGGCGTAGTGCACGTGGCAGCAGTTAGTTCCTAGGATCACAGCCCCTTAGTCTTTAGATAGAAAAGGTTATTAAAGGATATTCATCTGATGTGGAAAACGTAAGCAAAAGCCCACGTTACATCTGCTTTCAAGTTTTGTTTTACTAGTAAAAAAGTAGATAATCCATCACTTTGTTTTCTTAAATCAAGTGTAGAGCTCAGAGTGTTCCCAGCAAAGACAACCTCCAAAATGGGTTTATGTTGTTGCCAAATTTTCTAAACAAGAATAAATGCCAAGTCATACTCAGCTCATTAGAATAGCCCAAGATTATAGCTAACAAGAAATGTGAAGTGTGTTCGGTTGTTTCCATAGATACCGCTAATATTACCAACTTAAAACCTCTCAGGGAAAGACTGGACTGAGTAATGTTTTAATCTGCTGCATCGCATGTGATCCACCTTCAATATTCTAGTTATTGTCATCAATACATATGAAGTGATGAACTTGAATATTGGCACATTGTGAACGGAGTTGGTGCAGGCCTCTCTTCAGGTAACTTCAGGTATCAAATTAATAGGCAAACCCTGTTTCGCCTGTAGCTGAGAACACATGGCTCCTCCTTTGATCTGCGGTGAACATTTCCATACTCGCTGACACTGTGCAGGCTGAAAAGAGATGATAATAAATGCAGCTACCTAGAAAAAAAAAATCTGCATATTTTTAACTCTTCACACATTCTCTGTTTTATCTGTCAGTTAGTTTGGCCTCAAACTAAGTCAAGTAATTTAGATTTAATGGACTGGCCACTCATTCTGGGGTGAAATAGCTCCTAACTGCAGTTAAAGCAGTCTAAGGAAACCTGCTTGTCAACACATCATCTATCACATGTAGCCTAAAAACACAAGCATACCATCTATTCCTGTTTGTCCATGTAAACTTGTGTTTTTATCACATAATTCCTGTCTTAAATGTGTTTACGTATTTGGCTTTAACATCCCCCCGTCTTGGCAGCACGGTGGCACAACTGGTAGAGCTGCTGCCTCTTAGCGAGCAGGTCCTTGGTTCAAACCCCGGTCCAGGGGCCTTTCTGGGTGGAGTTTGCATGTTCTCTCCGTGCATGCGTGGGTTTTCTCCGGGTACTCCGGTTTCCTCCCACAGTCCAAAAACATGCATGTTAGGCTGATTGGTAACTCTAAATTGTCCCTAGGTGTGAGTGAGAGAGTGAATGTTTGTTTGTCTCGTTTGTCTCTATGTGGCCCTGTGATGGACTTGCGACCCGTCCAGGGTGTACCCCGCCCCTCGCACAGTGATTGCTGGACATGGGCACCAGCGACCCCCGTGACCCAAAATGGAATAAGCGGGTAAAGAAAATGGATGGATGGATGGATCCCCCCGTCTTCTAAAGTGGAGCTGAAAGTTCACAACTATTTCAAGGTTGTACATTTGTGCTGCTGATTGTTTGCATCAAATCTCCCATAACTCAACAATTAGACAAATAGACAAATGGAATGAAAATATATATGTATAAATTAATCAGATTTAATCTTGATCACCATTATCGTGCCACCAATGTGAGTTGGTTGATATCTCAAATATTTTTCAGCACTACTTAAACGTATGTAGAGCTTAATTCACGTTACACAATATTTCTTAACAAAGAACAATCATGCCATCAAAGTTGTGTTTTGGTTGGTTTGTAGTTGCTTATTCTTTTAAGATGCAGATAAAAAATGTAAGCAATAAAATAATCCTTACTTGCTATAACTTCAGATTTACAGTAAGATTGTTGTGAGAAGCAAAAAAAATAAATAAATAAATCAACCCCAAAAAAGTGCAGCATTACCTTTTCCAACATTTTTCAATCAGGTCATCTGGACAGTTTCTTTTTTTTTTTTTTGTGCTGAAACATTTCACCTTCCATCCAGAAGGCTTCATCAGTCAAGGAAACGCACAACACAAAACTGATTCTTCCCCCAACAGCCTATTCCAAAGTGGAACAAACCAGTTATGTTGGTGCTAAGATGGTCATGACTGTCGTTGAGGGAGAGGGCCAGCTCCGGATGAGGGGACGTGCCAAAGAAACCATCTTAGCACCAACATAACTGGTTTGTTCCACTTTGGAGTAAGCTGTTGGGGGAAGAATCAGTTTTGTGTTGTGTGTTTCCTTGACTGATGAAGCCTTCTGGATGGAAGGTGAAATGTTTCAGCACAAAAAAAAGAAGAAACTGTCCAGATGTCCTGACTGAAAATTGTTGGATTGTATACCTGGATTACTGGACATGGACTTTGTTAGCATTACCTTTTGTTTTTAAAAATCATATTCTACTTTAAAACAAATACAAATTGTCAGGGTGCTCTTCCTTTGCTGTCATGTGTTTTTAAGTGAAAGCTCCAATTTTCTCCAGATTTCCAAATGCAAGTATGGTAATTGACAACTTGTGAAAGTTATTTACTTAAGTTAATAGGAAAGTTAGTAGGACATCAGCTAACACAAATAATAAAGAAAGAAAGAAAGAAAGAAAGACAAATAAAGCAAAAATAACTACCCTTACTAACTGAACAATCAGAAATCTGTCTAAGACGCTAATTTGTTGATGAAAATGCAGTTGTTACTCTAAAAGAATGAAACAAATGCTGTTGGAAGATACATTTTACAATTCACACTTTTTGTGCTGCACACTAATCAACATGTGCATGAAATTCTAGATGTATTGCCCAATAGCAGATTTGATACTTTACTGCAAACATGATTATACAATACTAAGTAATTTAGACTTGTTGATACTGCATGGTGTTGTGATGTTTGCTCACCCATCTTTATTCCCATTGCATTATGAACTGCCACTCCCTTCAGCCAGAAGCATCTCTGATGGGCACAAAATGTGTGAGTGTCCTGATGCACCATCTGTAGCATTTTTAGATGCTAAAAGCAAACAAAACATTTTTAAACATGAGTTTCTCGGACAAAGATTATGCAGTTGGCAAGTAAACAGAACAAAACTTTGACATAAATGACTGTGTTATTATTTAAAATTATGCATTTCATGTTAAAAAAAAATGCTCCTAATTATTGTGTTGCAGTGTGGAGCTATGAACAGTGGCATGTTTAAATGTGAGACAGGAGTCTTTCTGTTGACAGTTTCATTTTTAATCAACTGCTTTCAGCTGTTCTTCAATACTGACACGAGAATTATTTTGAAAAAACAAATCCCTTTAGACATTTAAATATGTCAATTCACATTTGTAAGTGAGGTATATATATATACTTTGTATATATATATATATATATATATATATATATATATATATATAGAAAGATAGATACACATACATATGTATATTTGCATATATGTATGTATGATTGCTAGGATGACATTCCTTTTGTAAATGTTTTAATTTACATTTTACATTGTATGCATTGGAAGCGAATTATAAACAAAAAAGATGGTGAGGTAAAAAATGTAATTAGAGTCTACACTGTCCGTGCATGAAGTGTGAATGAGGTGAGATTTTATTTCATTATGGATGAATGTTACATTTGCCAGATAAAGAGTCTAATAATTTAAAGGTAAGGTTCTAAACTACCATGTCATGTTATACATGACTTCCTCTTTGAGCAATTAGCTACTTTTACTCAGTGTTTTTTTTTTTTTTGAATGTGGGAGTGGTGGTGCAGAAGTTAGATAAAGTGCACCTGTGAAGGCCGCTGGGTCAATTCCCCGGACCGACAACATCAAAATGTGAGGGAGAAAAGTGAAACACCCACATCTGCCTCCACCCTCATTTGCCCCACTCTGGGCCCTTGAGCAAGGTCCTTAACCCCCACCATATGCTCGCCTGGGAGTCCTAAACGGCATCTCCCTGCTCCACACAGAGGGCTGTGGTAGCTTTGTGGTCTGTGGTTGTGTCAGGAAGGTCATCTGGGTTAAAAACAATTATGTGTTTGTGCAATTTAGTTCGCTGTGGCGACCCCCGAGAAAGGGAGTAGGCAAAAAATAAAAATATATAAATCTCAGTGGCTTTCTTGTAAAATAATTTGTTAGCTTTTGGGTTGAAAGCCGGTTTGTATTCGCAATTATTTTTTTTTTATTTAAATATGAGCTCATGCATTCATTTTCCTAACATGACACTCTCATCACAGAGGTCTAAAGAAGGTCATTTAAGTTACATTATGGTCTAAGCATTTTTCTGTCTAAAATCATGTGAGAAAAGCAGCTAAAATACCGTCTCCCTCTGGAGAACCGCTCTGTTTGGTACTTGAGTTGAGCTTTCTAAAGTAGAACGATTCCATCCAGGTGGCAGCTTAATTTTTAAATTTAATTTGCAGCTGTTTACGCTAAAAATGCTTGATATTACTCATATCAGAGATGTTGCTAGCAATCTAATCACATTGCTTTTAACACGAGTGTCTATGTTTGGAGGGGCAATAGAGCACAGGGCTTTCTGACAACACTACAGCAGCTGTCATGGGCTGCGATGTATGATTTGAAATGTTCACACTGCATATCAAGGAGCCTTGTGTTGTATAGATGTGAGTGCTTTGGGCTCTTATTCTTTTTCAATCTTGTGCAAAAGGCTGTGCTATGAGCACCACAAGATTATATTAAATCCAAATGTTATCTATATTAAAATAGTTTGATCACAATAAAACCAATCTGAGAAATGCATTTCACAATTTACTATATGACATTGATAAATGAGTGTAAATATTACAGCAGGTTTTGATCTGAATGTATAACAGTTGAATAACTTCTTTTGTTTTCTTTTATTATAAATCAGTTCATTGTTTACCAATTCAACAACTTTGTTCTACAAGATTTAATAGAAACAGTAAAAGGAGTATATTTAAATTTTGACCTATTACGCTGATGTTCACAGTGATTTTTCTCTATTTATTTTCATGAGCCAACACAGAGCACATTGCAAATAAAACTGCCTTATTTCTTTATTCATAGACCTACTGATTGCATGTCATTTTCCCATCTCCTCCCTGCAGCTCCCTCCAGAATGATGACGATGATGAGGTGTCAAACAAGACGTGGGTGCTGACTCCCAAAGTGTATGAGAGTGATGTCACACACATCTTAAATGGTCTACTAAAAGGATATGACAACAAACTCAGACCTGACATTGGAGGTACAAACCGTTGCTTGTTTTTTGTGTTTGTTCCTGTATAAAAAAAAAATAACACAAACCCATTTCAGAATTGCATAATAGCAAAGGAATAAATAGACCTGTTTCATGTTGCATACAAACATAATGAGCAAAAATAACTTTATGACATAATGCAAGTAAATAGAAAGATGCTGCAATGAAACAGCTCATCAGTCTGTCTTAGTAGTTGCTTTCACGTAATTTTATTTTGTAAAAACCCAACCAGTTACGCATTTATTGATAAAGTAATGGCATATTATGTCAATCTATTCATCACAAATCAATAACATGATTTTTTTTATCCTGTAACACTTTAATGGTTTTTTAAACAGAACAGAAAATGACTTGTTGGCACATGAACAAAAGTATGATTCTGTCATAGTATTTCAAAACTGTACAGCATACAGTATATGCTTTGACAGGTAGCCTAGCTATCTATAAAATATCTCTGTCTGTGTTTATGTCCATGCATGCATTATGGTCTGGGGAGCTGTCCATCAAAGCTTGTAAGCCTGCAGACAAGTAGCTTACTCCCTTCACCTTGACAGACAACTGATGAGTTTCCCTTTCTCCACGAGCCCATCTCATTCATCTGCAAGCATAGTATAGGGAGATGCTCAGTATCACTGAACGCCTGTTTTGTGGGGTCATTATTACAAAATTTGTCTAAAACCAAGAGCTGTTACAGTCTGACACATAGAGATAAAGCTCAGAAAGTAGTTTTATATTTTAGCTGTGGATTTTTTGATCATACTCTAAATCCTTAAAATAAAAAACAAACAAACAAAAAAAACAAAAAAAATCAGTACATCGTCATCAGTTTTTCATGGCAGAAAAGAAGATGCTGATGTTCTCAGGAGTGGCCAAGATGGATAAGATTAGGAATGAGATCATTAGGGGCGCTGTACAGGTCTGTCATGGTGAAGAGAGAGCTGAGTCAAAAGGCAAAGCTCTCAATTTACCGATCGATCTACGTTCCTACCCTCATCTATGGTCACGAGCTTTGGGTTGTGACCGAAAGAATGAGATCTCGGATACAAGCGGCCGAAATGAGTTTTCTCCGCAGGGTGTCTGGGCTCTCCCTTAGAGATAGGGTGAGAAGCTCGATCATCTGGGAGTGACTCAGAGTAGAGCCGCTGCTTCTCCACGTCGAGAGGAGCCAGTTGAGGTGGCTTGGGCATCTGGTTAGGATGCCTCCTGGACGCCTCCCTGGTGAGGTGTTCCGGACACGTCCCACCGGAAGGAGGCCCAGAGGAAGACCCAGGACACGCTGGAGGGACTATGTTTCTCGGCTGGCCTGGGAACGCCTCGGGATTCCCCCGGAAGAGCTGGCCCAAGTGGCTGGGGAGAGGGAAGTCTGGGCCTCCCTACTTAGGCTGCTACCCCCGCGACCCGACCCTGGATAAGTGGAAGAAAATGGATGGATGGATGGATGGATCATTAGAGGTACAGTACAGGTTGAACCACTGGGAGATAAAGTTAGAGAGGCCAGACTGAGATAGATTGGACATGTCCGGAGGAGGGACAGTGGATATATTGGTAGGAGGATGTTAGAAATGCAACTGCCAGGAGAAAGACAAAGAGGAGGACATGGGGGTAGATGGAGTGAGGACAGAGTGAGATGGAGGAGGATGACCAAATTATCCCCACCTGCCCAAAGCAATTTTTACCAGCAAAATCAGAATGAAAACCGCCCAAACTGGCAACACTGGTCTGGATGGGATGGGCAAAGGAATGGAGTCCCACGTCATCCTTTCTGCAACTCATCTTTATGCAGCAGTCTCATCAGAGAGCCAATCCCCGTTCAGCTCATTGGTTTGGTTCACAAATTGGGCTGGATTACCAGGACACCGATTTACACAAAATAACTTACTTTAATTTCCTTTATTTATACATGTTAGTCTTGTCAAAACACAATTGTCTCATTTACAAGAGAGATCTGTTATACAAAAATAAAACAACACAATCATTAAAATACATGCAGATACAAAATACTTATAAATACAATCATTAAAAATGTAATAATAATTACACAGAAGCTCCAATGATATTAGATAAATAACCAACGAAAAAACTCAGAACCAGAAGCAAGTGTTTCTGCATGCATGCACACAATGCTTTTGACAGTAGAAGTCATAACAAAATGGCTCAAAATAATTGCAATAATTATTCTGTGCAATAATAACTGCAAGCTCAGAATAATGTGTGCAATGCAAAATTGACAGTTGTGTATAGATAGATTTTGCATTAACTGCTAGTTGTTTTGAGATGACAACAATATACTTTTGTATCCCCCCCCCCCCCCCCCCCCCCCATTCAAAATAGCCATTTCCTCATTATTCCAATGATAAACAATTTGTATATTCTGAAAAAAAGCTTATTAAGTTAGGTCATTTTGGAACTACCTAAATGCATTACCTCACGTGGTTTCTCGCACCTCCCACTGAAAGTCTAATGTTATCCCTCTTAAATTCAATATACTCCTTTACTAGAGCACAAAAACAAACAATAAGCAAGAGCACAATTCATCACCGTCCTCCCAGCTGAAATCTTGACAATAAGTTTAAGCTAGAAGGTGCTACCTTCATTATCTGATCTCATCTAGGCACTTTAAAACATGATTGATGGTTCAACGAGCATGATGGTATGAGATGAAAGCAGCTGATTAACACTGCTGTGCTTCCTGCATGTTATTCTTTTAAATGAATCCATTCACTTTGCACTGCTGCACATAATATGACACGTTTTCTGAAAGGGTATCATTTCCATCGTTGAAACTTCAGACAAGTGACTGTACTGATGGTTGAAGAGGAGCTCAGGCCCACTTTGTTGTGCAGCATTAACCAGAAGCGCCAGCAGATAGTTGGGCGGCTGGCTGCCACTGTTTCAACCATCATCATCAAATGTGCTATGATCTTTCAGTTGCTACAATGTTGCACATCCTCACAGAGGATATAATTAGCTGGCTATACTGTCATCTGAAACAGCAACCAACAGGCCATACTTAGGCACAGTTAAGTCTCCCCTCTGCTCCAGAGTGTGCTGTAAACTTAGATTAATTGCTGATTATGCCACAGCTTCCCTTTGAAGACTATAGTGATGCTTATTTAATTTTAATGTTTCTGGGGTGAGACGCACATCTATAAATTGTAGTAACGAAGACATAAAGACAAAATGTGAATTTCAAAAAATCTTAAACAATATTTCACCCAATGGTATTGATCAATAGTATTTATGTTTTAGAAATGCAGTAGTCCCTCGTTTATCGTGGGGGATCGGTACCCTGAAGCCCCGCGATAAATGAAATACCATAAAGTAGGAATAATAGTACAAGTAGTAGTTTATTTTATATATATATATATATATATATATATATATATATATATATATATATATATATATAAAGGTGTTTTAAACCCTTCACACACTCTTGCAATATTATAAGCAATGTTTCTAAACACTAAAAGCTCTAAAAGAGCACATTGTGACATGAGTTCAGCTCTCTGTACTCTGCCACCTGCCAGCACTCTCGGCCACGCCCACTTCTCTGTTGCAGAGCAGAGATATGACATGCTGCAGGAGGAAGCTTCTCCTGCAGCTGTGTGCAGCCCACAGCTGCAGGAGGAAGCACACAGGTGCAGCGGGTGCTAAATAATTTAAAATGATTTGTTTAAAATAAAAATTCCATGCCGATCAAGCGGCTCATCCATCAATCAGACAATTGTGTGCCATGTCCAATCTTACTTTGAAAAACCACGATAGAGCGAGTCCACGAAAAACGAACCGCAAAGTAGCGAGGGACTACTGTAAAACAAAAAACATTTAAGAAATAATAATAAAAAAGTAGTAAAAAATGAACATGTATTAAATGTATTATTATTTCTATTGTACCCAGCTTTTCATCATAAAATTAAAGATGTTCGCCATGCGTTTTTGTCTTGGGTTCATAGGAAAAGTTTAGGGTTCTGTGCAAATTCTTACTTGTCTCATTGCCGCCTTCTTTAGTTTGTCAAGCACCTCGATATCTGGTAGTTTTTAACCTGATAACTGCTTTCACAGTATGTGGGTGGCTGACATTGGTATTATTACCCAACTTTAGAATGGAAGATCAGGGGATCAAACCCGTGTGCTAAGAACATGGATGTGCAATGACCAAGGTACATAAATATAAAACCATATTAGCATAGATGCAACCTGGATTAGCAAGGTCCAGGTTAAGATGTAAGGAAAACAGAATGTTCTGGTTAGAAACCTTCAAACTCACGAGGAACAGTACATGAGTTTTGTTTTAGTATATGTGCATGGATTTTTTAAATCTTACGTTTAATATATATTTATTTATTTATTTATTTATTTATTTATTTATTTATTTGGTATGGGCAAGTGGCCAGAAATAAACACCACATTCATGTTTGCTTGTAAGTGATATGAAAATTAGTTACAAGTCAGCACTCACTCTGTCAATCTGTCTCTTACCCTCATTATCAATCTTGGATTAAACCTTGAGATGAAATCAGTCTAAAGTCTAACACTAGCTTGTTCTCAAACATATCCAGCTGTCATCAATGAACATTAGACATAAAAGTGTTGAGACTCACTCAAGCTACTAAGGAGATCTGGCAAATCATAAATGTTCATTAGACACCAAGTTGTCCAAACTCCTCAATGCCTTTCAGGTTGTCTTTAAACCAAACTGAACATTAGAAACTGGGAGGTTTACTCATAGTGTTTGTTATCTAGTTCACATACTGTCATTATCACTGATGGGTGGTACATAATTAGACAAATTGATACATGCCTGCTTAAAACTTGAGCGACTTTATAAAATATCACTAACCTCTGGTTTCCCTGTGCTTCTTAACAGTCAAACCAACAGTGATCCACACAGACATGTTTGTCAACAGCATTGGCCCTGTGAATGCTATCAATATGGTAAGTGAATCAGACATATTATGAAAATATGGTATCATCGTTATAAGAAATATTTTAAAACCAGTATTTAATACCAAAGAAAATTAATTGTAAATGCTTTGTTACTACAATCTTGCAGTAAATGGTTGCACGCAGGATTGGGCACCTTATTGATGAGCATTTTACAAAGAAGATGCACTTTCTATGATTCGTCTCCACTTTTTCTCTAGTTTAGCATCACTGTGCTGCTGTAAATAGCCTTCTTGGCAACTGCTTTGACATATTAATATAACGGTGGAATTAGTCTATAAGGAATATTTTATGTGCAGTTAACCTTAAAAGTCACCTTCCAAGATTATAAAGAATAAACTGGTAACTCAGTTGCCATGCCCAATTTTTGAGCCACACACAACAATGTGTTTCATTGCAATTGTCA